AGTTAACCTAGTTAACCGAACATACATGTCTTTGGACTGCGAAGGAAAACAATCTAACTACACACAGGCAGCTGGTTCACTCAAACCCATGACGACATAAAGTTTTGCAAAATCATACACTGCATAAATACATCTTAACCCTTTAAGACCTACCATAGAACCAAGTCCTCCAGGGCTTATATCATATTTTTACATGTTGTAGTGCCATTTTTTGGAGCATTTCAAGTTGATATACATCAACACAACCATTATAGCCCAAATTTTAATAATATGTCTGCATTAAGTTTATAGTAATTACATAAATTGCAAAAAAGTGCAATAAACTACAAAAAAATTGAAAATCGTTTTTGTTTTTTTACCATATATTTCTAGTTAGAGAAATTTAAGAGGCTTATCCCTCAAAACTGTAAATAGAAAAAAGTTGCACAAAATAGTTTCCCACCACAGGAAATTTATTTTAAGTGTCTTCATAGTTTTATTTTTGAAATACACCAATTTTCATATACTGCAGGAAAAACGAAAATAAATATTATACTGCAAATTTGCAAAAACAAACAGCACATGCATCAAAATAAAATATTTCCAGCAGTGCAATTTTTGTTCTATGCATCCCAGAAATGACACAGAAAGTCATAAAGTCAAACATAACTTTTAAAAACACCAGTAAAGGCTCGCTAGGCCCTGATTGTAAAAAACTATATTTCCGCAAAATGGCGTCACTTCCGGTTTCGGGCAGGTCATGGCGGACCTGCGATAGTTCGCGCTGATGGACGTAGGAAGTGTTACAAACAGCTGATCGGATCGGCAAAGCGTGTTTCTGGAATATTATGTTTTTGTTGCTGCAAGTGCTTTTTATGCAGTTTTTGCAAAGCTTTATGTGGAAGGAAACCGTGACCTAGGACAAGCTGATGGCATAAGATGTAAGTACAACTCCTCCGGTTTCATATGCAAAAAAAATTATTGCGCTAGCTTATGTGGTTGCAGTGCTACCGGGATTTTAAAATAGTTAAGCAAAACAGAGCGTGCCTGCTCCGACCGGCTTTAAAGGGTTAAAATCTCAAGTTTTTATAGCGTAAAGTCAAAAAATATAAGATAATAATAAAATACACCATTTTAGTATCTAATGCTTCAAGGTCATAGGTCAGCGTGTTGTTAGAAAAGCAGGCGGATGTCAGCATGTAATAAAAACATCATTAAACATCAAAGTTTTAGTATAGCCTTTGCCTTTCAGGGGTGAGTTGCTCTCTGAGTGCGCTTGTTCCCACTGTCGCCAAGTGCTTGCTCACGGGGGGGTCGTCTGATTGTCGGGGTTTGTTCTGTATTACTGTAAGATCTTTACCTTATAATATAAACCACCTTGAGGCAACTGTTGTGATTTGGTGCTATATAAATAAAACTGAACTGAACTGAATCAGTGCTAAGCACCATCCCACCTACTGTTATTATGTGACTTTAAATGGATTCTTAATGGCCTGAGCATAGTTTAACCATTTAGCAAGTAAATCTCTCCCCCCCAAAATAATGCATTTTTTCAGCTGTTTCACAGTAAAAGCTATATTAAAGTGTGCCGTATACAAAAAGAGAAGTGCGGAGTTGACCTCAGCCTTGCCTATCAACTCACACAGAGGCTGTATAGTTGAGTCACAAAGAGAACTGTGACTAAAAGCTGCTAATTTGAGTGCAGCAGTCCACTACATACAGAGAGACTCTAGCTGTGTTAGACACATGCCTTTTGAGACACCAGCCAACTGTATCTTAATGGCATGAGAGCCATAGAAAGAAGTGACTAAGAGCCAGTTTGAAAATAGACATGCAGACGTTGGTATGGCAAAATAGGAGTGACTAAACCCCAGAGTGAGTCTGGACCACGGAGCTGGTGTGCAGCTTCCATGTCTGCATGTCATTAGCTCATATCTTCTGGTCTCGTTGGCAGTGCTCAAACGCTAAGGTGTCCCAGCAGAAGGCTGAACTAGTCCACACATTTAACAGTGAATTTAACATTACAGACCCCAGAGGCCATACGGGGTTTTCATCACTAGGATTTCATCACACACACACAACCTCTTGAGCTACATTCACTGTCAAAATCTCTGCAAAAAATACACCACACTGGTGAACAAAAAGGGATTTCACTCTCAGTCTTCATGCTTCCAGATTCTTTCCTCATGTACACAAACTCAGATCTAAGCTCCACCCAGGCACATATATAAACACATGCTTCACTACACTTTTTTTTTTTTATCCTTGTGTCTATATCATATGACGAGGCTCAATCAGTCCTGGATGGACTATTCATCCTCCAAATTTGACACTGAATCCTACCCAATAACAAACAGCTTCATCCCTTTTCCCGCTCTGCAGACCATCTTTATCTGGAACAGCTACAAACACACATGCACGCACGCACAATCTACAAATGCACCTAGATCAGTTGAGCTGAGTGCACCTGAATAATTCATATCAGGAAAAATTTACTACGAGCCTTCATTATGAGCAGGGACAAATGCTTGTTTTGTATGGTACAAGAACTATGAGACAGCCCTTCAAAAAAATGCCACCCTATACGCAGTGACCCATTACCATATTATTGGCATGCAGAAGTAAATTACACCAGAAATCAGCCTGAAATTAACTCCGCAGAGCTGTAATAGCTTTTTGCATTCAAGAAAAACACAACATGACACACGGGAGCCTCAAACTAATGAATGGCATTGAATATAAAGCAAATGGCCTGAAATCACGCCAACGGAAGAGGCAACAAGTCGTGCTTCTGGTCATCTCCTCTTTTAGATATCAAAATTAACTTTAAAGGTAAAGTATGCAACACTTTCATTTAAAAAAAAACAAAAACCTAAACAGACCGATACAAAAATAGTCCCTCTCAGCCATTACTCACAGCCCACTCAAAGTGCGTATGCATATTCATCTAACGAGACTCTTCCTTCTGCCTCTGCTGTCTCCTTTCTCTCTTATTTTGCTCTGTTTTGGACATTGCTGGGCTGCAACCTTTGCTGAGAGGTTGTGTAACACCAGGCAGCAGCAATGTCCAGGCTGTGAGGGCAGAACAAGTAGAAAACACTGCAACCAGGTTACACATGAGCCCATATATAAAACAATCAATTTCAATCGCCAGCACTGATTAAAAAAATAAGTTTGACTATACAGAAGCTTTTGAGAATCCTGCTCACAGTATTTACGACCTCAGTAAACAGTTTATGATCTCGTTTTCTACGTTAAAGTCTTAACTACAACACAATGTTTATATTGTCCTAAATTATGTTTCCATATAGAACAGAACAGGTGACTGGCAAGCTGCTACCTTACTTGTTAGACGCCGACAACCAAAGTGTTTAAATAGACTTACAGCTGGTTAAGTCCATTTTTTTGCGTACGGTCTCTGGTTACATGACTGTCTCTGTCACTGCAGTGCTCTCTGCCTGTGTCATGAATGTATAAAGAGCTGCGTGGCCGCTCGCTTGATGCTGATTGCAAACACTTACAGAGCGGAGAAGCCACAGTGGACAGGATGACGGCGAGCGCCTCGGATGCATTCACACAAAATCCGGCAATGCGAAGCCTCGCTGCAGGGCAGTGTGAAGGTTTGCAGAGGTGTGGGTGTTTGTATTTCTGTTTTAGAACGTAGCCACTCTCAAACGAGCAGAAAATTGTTTAATTCTCTGATTCACTGCTTTGTTCTCCTTAATGCCGTTGCTTCCAGTCATTCGCTCTTTCATTTGTTCAATCACTGCTCGGTGAGCTGTAGAGCGCAGACCTGTACTACAGGTTTTATGTTTCTGTACTATGAATGTGGTCCAGTTCGTACAGGGGTACATCACCATGGTAACTAATGCTCCAAACCTAATCTGCTTATGTTCCTGATTAGAGATCAACAGGTATGCAATCACTGTCTACTGATCAATCAAATCTCCAGGAAACAGCATCACCGTTCCTGGAAGTTCTCTTGAAATTCCCTCTAATGTCTCTGTGTTTCCCAGATGAGGATGAGTAATAAATACAGATTCTTGGATGCAATTTTATTCCTTCACTGTAAACTCACACGTTGCCAGCTTTTCTTCCTGCCTTCAAATTGGCTATGCTTCATTAAAATAGTAGCTCTTTCATACTGACTGAAACGTTTAAAGCACACACATTCAAACCATGCTGTCAGAGTAATATTCTGGGTATGTTGAACTTGTTTTGTAGTGCAAGGTCCAGGTTTGAATGCTGAAAATTCCTTCATAATATCCCTTAAGGTCAATACTACTGATCATTAAAATAAAAGAAACAATAGGCACAAATCTAACTTTCTACAAAATACTACAAAAAAAAATCACTGATGCATTCCTAGAGCACTTAAGGTGTAATTTATCCTCAACTTCTACAACTTATCTCACCTTGAACTACACAGTGACGTACAAGAGCTTTCAAGCACACCCTTTTCAGTAGCTCCATTTGCTTTTACATCAGTGGCCTTCATCAGCAGATGGAATTTGCTCAGCTGTCATCGAACTGTAGCTGTTAAATGTTTCCATTGCAGGTGATTTTCATCTTTGAAAAGCGCTGACGTAAATAACACAAAGAGCAATGGCTAAATTCCATTTAGCTGCTTTGGCTTTCAAGTCCTGGTGTTGTGCGAGCTCGATCATTGGTTGAGCTGGTTCACAACTTACTGGATCGCTGAGCGTGCCCATAAATAAAAGACAAAAAGATTTTTTAGAGTGAAGCAACACTGGGTTTCAGGGAAAAAAGAGTGGATTTGTTTTCAATGATACATTAAAATAACAAACTTGATCATAAATGTTGAAGATAATTAATGGGTAATGGAATAATTGGTCAGATGACCATTTATGGCTTTAAATGGACTGTGCAGGTATACAGAGGCCCATATTCCACACAGCAACCACCCAGTGGCACACTGTGTTACCTAATGCAAGTTTATCATGTTAAAAGGCTAACTGATCATTAAAACAACCATTTTCCAATTATGCTAACACAGCTGAAAACAGTTATGCTGATTAAAGGAGCAATAAATGTGGCTAGTTAAGTGTCTGGAGCCTCAGCCTTTGTTGCTCGATTACAGTCTTAGAATAGCCACACAAAAAAGGAAAAAGGAAATTTCTAAAGAATGGAGGATATCATATAACACTGTGCACTAAGGCCTGGTGCACAACTGAGCACAAGGTCAGGAACATTAGTTAGTTTGAGACCGATGTCTCACAGGTCTTACCTGAAAAACACGAGTTATGAGTGAAAAGGAAATCCATGAATCCTTTCTTTTGAGGAAAAGTTGCAAAGGACAAGAAGAGAGACTTTTGCCAGACTAAGATGTGGCTTTTTCTTTTTAGTGGAGTCACCTCTTCACAGGGTAAGGTCTATTCTGAGCATTCTGAACTTGTCATCTATGCTGGCCCAGTGGGCTTGTTCTGGTGAAACCTCACAGCTTGAAATCTTTTTCATGGTTTGGAGGATAGGTTAATGCGTTCTTTGTGATATTTTTCAGGCAGCTTTGCACAGCGCCAGTTTTTTAACGCGTGGCAGCAACTGTAGGCAGCGTATGTGCCGAGGCTGTAATTCGTCTGTAAGTGATGGAGGCAGCATACACCCACAAGTGTTCTAGTCTAACCTGACATGCTGAAGGAGGAGGATGCCCACAAGCACAGGTAAAAGTTAACAACAACCCAACTCATTGACAAGAAAGAGTCAGGGATGAACAAAGGGTGATAACTAGAGCCTGTGGAGCGCAGACCTGTACTACCATAGGGCTCTCACCCTATGGTAGCTTGAACACCCTGGACAAGTAGCCAGCCTATGTAGGGCTAACACAGAAAGACAAACAACCAGTCGCACTCACATTCATACCTGTAGGCAATTTAGAATCGCCAGTTAACTTAACCCCACTAACTGCATGTCTTTGGACTGTGGGAGGAAGCTGGAGTACCCGGTGAGAAGCAAAAACAAGGAGACTCGGGGGGGGGGGAGGCCCCGGCCGTGTGGTGGACCTTCTTACTGTGAGGCAACAGTGCTAAATTAGTTTGAGAGAGATGTCACTGAGCAGTGAAATGGGCTAAAATGGTTGCAGCAGTTAACAGTATATAAATGCTTAAGCTAAAGTAATGTGAGTAAGATTTCACCTTGTAGTAACGTTAGTAGGCTGCTCGGAAACCACCCCAACACTTCAGTCTGTGTCCTGTCAGTAAAGTACAATGTTAACATTTCCTGTTCTGTTCCTGTTCTAGAAATGAATGAGGTCCAGAATTTTTTCTCTTTACAACATGTGTGCTTCAGTGACCAGCAGAAAAGGCCAGACTTCTGAAGAGATTCGGTACAAAGAAATTCACACCAGAAATTCTGAAAACTGTAAAGTACTTTATTTTGTATAGCTTCCCTCTTTTTCACAGAAGCTACTTTGTATATATATATAAATGTGGAAGTTGACTCTTGTCTGGCTGTAAAAAAAAAAATAAAATAAAACACAAAAGAATTATTCCCTCCCTTGAAATTAAAATGGCAGAAAGAAAAAAAGTTACTCACTCCTGGCCCTGGCTCCACTGTGCCTCTGACTCACTCCTGGTGTCTAAACCAACCAATTATCATTCCTCATGAGTCCTGTGTTAACCTAACCTCCTAAACACAAGCCAGTCAGAGTCACTGCAGAATTCCCAGAATTCCTGTAGTCTTTTCAAAGTAAAAGCCACAATGATCCAGTTTTACTGTCTTGTTCTGAAAACAAAATGACCAAAGTCCAGACCTCATATCTGGATCCAGCCCTGCCTGCACTGTTGGTTTAATTTAAACATATTCCATTATTCTTATCTCATCGTGACATATCTTAAACTGTTCTTATCTTTCATCAAAAACTACGACTATCATTGCTGGATGTCATCACTTGCTGTATCATTTCTTGGCACTTTCCCACAGATGCTTGAGTCTTGTTTTTGTGTTAGTCTTCAATCAACTCTGAGTCCAAGCTTATTTTTTTTCACCGAGAGTCAATTTTAATTTATTTATTTTTAAACATTCGTCACTCCCGTGGAAGCACTTTGGAAAGCTGCACCTCTTCTGGCTTCCTCCTCAAACCTCAGACGCTATTATTCAATTTCCTACAGTCAGGCTTTCTCCTTATTTCTTGCGTAGAGGTGCAGGCTTCTCTCTTACAACATCATCACCACTTCCTCTGCTTCACCTAGATGTAAGTGTGTTTCCTTATATAGAGAAATGGAGGCGGAACAGTATGCAGATAGCATGCAAACTGTATGGAGAATGTACCAGGCTGAGAGCAAAACAGGTGGGTATGCACATTTCATAAATGCAACAATAAATTTTGCATGCAAACATTATTTTATTTATTTTTGCACAGGTTAAGAATGATTCCATGCAAATATTCATAAATAAGGCCGTCTAACTTGGAATAATGAGAGTTAAGTTGAGCCATATTATCCATTTTGTGCTCTTTTTTGTGACTCTGTCTTAACCCTGTAAAACCTGAACCATGAAGTAATGGCCAGAATTTTTTTTTTTTTTTTTTTTTACACCAAGTGTTTATTAAATCTTTTATCAATTATATTTAAAAAGAACAAACTGAATATAAATGTGCATATATGAGTTTTAATTTGTATCCTTTTTGCTACATTGTTTATCTTAAACACACAAAAACCTATAAGGGAGTTAGTGTTATGATTCAAAAATCACACTGATGATGTGGAGGTCTCAAAAACCCATGTGTCAAATATGATGTACTTGGCGCAAGAGGGCTGACTAATACATGTTTAAACAGCATTTTGGTAAATATAAGTAAGACACATAGACATATTATAGACATGACTAGAAAGTCTGTTATGCACAAATTTGAGTGGTTTTATGTAATTTTACATATGTTTGCATGTCAGTGAGGGTGTGTAGTATGATCCTGTCTGTGTGCTTACATGCTATAAATATGGATGGGTGAACGCATATGTGTGTGGGTGTATCTGTATTAACAGTGGCCCTATACACTGTTAAATTTAGCTGTCATGGAGAACACTAAGAGTATGACAAATAACCATGAGAAAAGACTTCCTCGTATAGTACTTACAGCAGAGTGTGGGAGTGTGGGTGCAGGTAGCACAGCAGGACGAGGTAAGGTCTCAGTGGATTACTGAACAACCTCTAAAGGAGACAATAAGAGGCCATCAGGGGCGGAGAGGGGAGAGGCTAGATTAATGAAATATGAATGTGTTTACTGAACAGCTGTCATGGCAGCCTACTGATGGCTCAGGGATATTAAAAATACACGGCGCAGCTGATGGCTTCACCTACACTTCAGCGACCCCCGCCATCTTCAGAAACTACTCTAATCAGCATACAAACTCATCGCAATCACAATCACCCACAGAAATGATCATCATCACACTCTTCATCACTATTCCCATCCTCACCATCAGCCATCGCCTGTTCATCTACATTATCGCTTTCATCGCGCGGCGGAATCACGCCGCTGCAGGAAATTGAAGTCGGCCAGATCAATAAATACAATATAAAATTAAATTAGCTGCCAAGATGAGGTGAAAATGTGAGAATAAGTGTTTGGAGGCAAAGGCAGAGGTAACGCTATCCAGTCGAAACAATCAAAAAACACATTTCGGACACAAGCAAACAACGCGGTGAGGCGACAGGCTTCCTGTTATGGATTTATGAAATGAGTTAAAAGAGGTGAGCCACATACTTTGATGTTTGTACCTGTGCGCGCGTCTGTGAGTGTGTGTGTGTGTGCGCGTGACCATGACATCATTTCTGCAGTGTCTAATCAAGGAGAAAGGGAGCCAGCTTTTGCAAGGGAGCTGTAATGTAAACACAATTGACCTGCTTTAATAAGAAAAAACACGATACTTGCACTTTGCCCACACTTTCACAGAGACACAGAACACCTTCACTCCACCTGCGATGATACACAGCCTCACCACCTGCTAAAACAGATCCCAATGTATCTCCGCTCTTTTGAAGTTTTATCTTTTCTCAGTGAAGGATGGCGATTCGCTGCATGGCAAAACTCCATCTGTTCATTTCAATATGAATGGGCATGTAAGTTTGGTGCCGCTGGAGCGGCAGAGATGTGAAATTGCGGATGGCATGCAGAGCGGCCCCGACACGCAGGGTTAATTCAAAACGCCTTTGATGTCTGCCTGCGTGTGAAATGAGCTGGTGGTCCAGGGTTCACTCATACACATGCCAGCACATACATACACGGTCGTACGCGCATACTCATCACACCTAAAAAAAGAGAGAGAAAAACTGGAGGGACCACTGATGTGGGCACGTGAATCCAGCCACACAGTAATCAATCAGCTCATATCGCATATTCTATAGCGCCAAAACACCATCAGAAACTCTGCCTCGCTGTGTTGAGAAGCAAATCCATTGCACTCTTCAGGATTTAACTCTTGAGCATCCCCAAAACATTCACTCACATACCATCCACATGACAATGGAAGCTTAAGCAGCCTGTAGGCAACAACAGACGGCTGGCTTACACACACAATACCTGTGCAAAGCAGACGCAGCTGCACAGCAGTAAATGTCAGGATGAAATTTTAACTGTCGTACACAAAACGTATCTGATTAAGCTCTTAGGTGTCAGTAACCCGAATCAAGCATTTGTTGTATTTTTCCCTCAAGCACTTTTATGATTTATTTCTGCTTCGCCAAAAGTTACAGAGCCTTTAAAGTCACACCTACACTGTCATTAATGTAATTATAACTCACAATAAACGAATGCATTTAGCTCGAATTCAATTAGATCAGCTGTGTCATTTCTAAATACACGCTGAGTGATAGTAATTACAGTGTTGATGCTAATGTAAATAGCAACGTCGGTTGTAACTCAGACAATTGGCCGCTGCATTGAAACCGGTGACAGAAAAAACATAAACAGAATTATTTATAAACAAACACACAGATTTGTGCAAATTGTGAGGTTGGAAGTCGGGGCGACTGTGCACTGCCGGATGTTGTTTTTCAAAAATAAATGACTTATATGAGCATTAAAATCATTTATTTACTTTTATGGTAGGATACTCTCTGAATGTGAAGATAATAAATGGCACAGCGGCACTGGCGAAACGTTTGATTGTGGAAAGTTGCTCAACAAGTTTAATGAGTATGCGAGTGCTAAACATTTTGAGTTTGTAATATTGGTTGGCAAAAATGGAAACGCGGCTCGTTATCTTTCAATTTCACTGTGAAATAACTCGTAAAGGGAGGTAATGGTGTTCTCTTTGTCTAATGTGTTGATAGCGATGCTTTTTACTACATCCTGCTTGGAGCTACGTCAGTATTTTATACTGACCGGCCTTTATGAGAGGCTTTCAGGTCCACAAGTTTTGATGGCCAAAAACGGCAACAGGAGGACATGCCCCTGTCTGCTTTTGTTATGGGGATCACTATGAAGGAGCAGGTGTGACTGAAGCAGTAAAAACAGGATGGAAGCTTAAAATTATTTTATTTCAGTTTTGGGTTGTTTGGGAATATAAAGGACTGGTTTATATCCAAAACAGTAGGGGTGGGGGAAAAAAACCGATACTGTGTAGTATCGTGATATTTTGTTTGCTAATAATGTATCGATACAGGGACAGCAGAAATCGATATTTTGTTACAAAAAACGTTTTTGTGGACTGGAACATGCTCTGACTTCAGAGTATGTTGATCAGCTCCTTTTTCTGAGCAAGAATCCTGACATTCTGACATCCTGACATTCCTTCACTGTCCAAATGTGTTTGTCATGTTCATTGCTGCCATAAAAAGTTTACTTATTTTCATTTAAGACATGCTGTATTTTAATTAAGTTTAAAACTTTTTTATTTAATGTAAAATTATATTTTGTTTTAATTTACTTTCAAATTCTTCAGTTGCTGAAGGGGCTGCATAGTTTTCACAAATTTCATAGTTCAGAATAGCTATAATTGTACTAGATGGTAAGTTAGACTAGACTGTAATACAAACCGTTCAGTTTGTCAACAATAAAACTGACTGAAATAAGAGAAAGACTGAGTGTGAGACTTTGTTATTAGATAAAATGAATATTGATAAAGTTTACCTTTATGTACAGAATCTGAATATCGCAAAATATTTTTAAAAATTGCAATAATATCGTATCGTGCGTTAAGTATTGTGATAATATCGTATCGTGCGTTAAGTATTGTGATAATATCGTATCGTGGGATGTATGGTGATTCCCACCTCTACAAAACAGTGGCAAGACACTTACGTGAAGGAGACAAGGGGGCTGGAAAAGGATGGAGAAGGGTTGTGTAGGGTTGTGTCACAAACACAATGCCCGATGCCCAGAATTAGCCCAGCAAAGACCCCATCAGGCTGACACAATGCCTAATTTTAACTGTAACTTTTAACTCTTTTTAACTTAATGTTTTTACAGTGTTTCCTACTGACAAAAACCTCCATTATTGCCATTCATACTACACCAAAGTAATTAAGTAATAGATAAACAATAACAATTAAATCACAGAAAGGTTCATGTATTTTTTCACAATCTGCTATAGAAATTTCTTTTTCTATTCTATTTTCTTTCTATTTTTTACATGGATCATCAAGAGTACTAGTCAGCCACCAGCTTCTTCTGTAATTTTACACATTTATTTATAAGTGCTGACAGATTTCTTGCATTTACTACATCAGCATTTCTGTATTATATAGAAAAACTGAGATTTACTGCTGAAATTGCACTTCTTTCGTCTCACCATTAGAAGTGGGCGGATCGATTCAAATATCAACAGTATCAATTCAAGCACTGTTATTGGTACTGGAATAATACTAGCGCAAATAGGACCGATATTTTGTTTCTGTCCTCCGCATGAGGCCAAATCATAGGTGTGTTTTACTGTGTTAACTTATTACTGTGGAAAGTCATTTAGTGGTCATTGAAATGTGTTCAGAATTTGATAATTAATGTTGATTCATCTCATAAATCATGACATACTGCTCTCCCCTACATAAGCTGCCTTTCAAATTTAAAAGTATCAGTAATGCTGGTTCTGTATTTAGCTACTCACCATCTCCAACTATCAAACCTTAACTCGGATAGCAAATACATATATATTTAAACATCAACATCAAAATTGTAAGGCTGCGCGTGCACTCCCTCTTAAAGCATATTTTCACTTACAAATTACATAAATGTAATTTTTAGAAGACACGGTTGCTATACTG